AAACCCCATAGGTAATGTTTATACCCAAATAGAGAGGCCAACATAACAGATTCCTCCCCTACACAGCCTTCTCATTCTAGATCTAAGAGATTCAAGTTGACCTGGCACTGAAAATACAGGCCTGAAAAGGCACTTGGGAGTGGCTTGTGTTTTATTTCCTAGTGTATTTATCATGTGCTAGATGAGCTAAGACAATGGTATCTGCTATAACAGATAGACCCAAGTGTCTCAAACATAATAGCAGGTTTTCATCATATATCTTTGTAAACATTTTCATGGAAGAGTGAAACCTGTGTTCAGGGATCCGGAGAAGACGGGGCTAGGGAGAATGCAGAGAAGCATGTGTGCAAGGATGGGGCTCCCTTTGTGCTTCCCCACCAAGAGAGCTGGAGTGGTACAACGTCAGAGCTCAAGTGTGATCCGGAAGTAAAGCATGGTCAAAGTTGGCCAGCTGTGCGGGAAGATGGTTTTAAAAGACTAAAACGAGATGCAGCCCAGGCCAGAAAAAGGTTAACGTAGTAGTAAAATACAGCCTTCTCCGTGCATGGCTCATTCCAATTTACAAAACATGTTCACATGAATTATCTTATTTTAGGCCTCACAAACAATCAGATGAGGTGGCTCAGGAAGTATTAGTACCCTTATTTCAACTATGCAAGAAATCTCAGCAAAGTCTGAAAGGCTCAGTGATTTACCCTGTTGAGTGGTGAGCCAGGGTGGAGGATTGAGTGTCCTCCCTCTGAGAACAGAGCTTTTTCCCACAACTCTGTGATCCTCTTGGAGGTTCTGGGGCAGAGGAGACACTGGGGGTGCTGAGGCAGGAGGGCTGCAGAGGTGAGCAGAGCTCGCTTCCCTTCCCCTCCCTCATGTCCCCTGGACACATCCTCATGATGCCAGCCATGTTCCCTTGGAAATCACTTACCAATGGCAGCCTGTTCAGAAATGCAGCAACGAATAGCTGCAGACCAGTTGGGTCCTTGCTTTTGTAAAACCTGAACTCTGTCCTTTAAGGGGGTCACAGTCTAACAGACAGGCCTTTTTATCTTCACAGTTGTCTAATCAGGCTTTCATTTATTTAGCCACTCCTTCCATTTTTGTCATCTCCCTCTCGTCCACCTAGTCCCACTCCTCCCACTGTGTGCAGCCGAATTTGTCCAGTGCCAAATCATGTTTTATTCTCAGCCTGAGAAAGAAATTAGACAAAAAGTGTTAAGCCTGGCCAACAAAGGACTTGTCCCACCAGTGCAATTTGAGGTTTCAAGTTTATGCAGACACCACTCCCTCCCAGCATTGTGGTTTTGTCCTGAGAAACCCCAGAAAGCAGAATTCTTGGGTGGACTAGGAAGCTACTTTCCCACAAGAGCAGTGGTATTGATAAGAATGCGGTCAAATAGTGCTTGAAATTTCGCAGAAAGATCTGTGGAAGACCGGTGCTAGGCTGCAAACCCACAGCTCAGCTCTTTCAAGCATCCACAGCAACAGCCTGCTGTTTTCCCAGGTGGCTCTGAATGAGACAGGGAAATGCAGTGGGCCATTTGTCACTGCCCTGGCTGCGACATGTGCATGCCAATTGGTGCATGCAGCCAGCAGAGGCCCACTCCTGCCCCATGCCTGCATCTAGGCCTCTGTGCTTCCTTTTGGCTGAGGTTGGGGAGAGTATGCTCTCTCCTGTCCTCCTCCACCTGAGTAGATGGTTAGATCCACTCTTCTGGGGTTGCAACCAACTCAACCCTCCCCACCATGATCAAAGGTGCCCATGCTCTGTACAATCCCTCCCATCCCAATTTTGATTCAAGACATGGTCTTTTAGGAGTGTGAGGACTCATCATTGACATGCCAGTCTTAGTATCTCAAGTATTCTGGTGTGTGGTGGTCAGTGGATATGCTAGTGTGTTCTTCAGTGAGGGCTGGACTGGAGTATCATTTCAATCTGGTCTTAGGTTGAAGCAGGGTTCTACAGAGATGGCACGAGAGAAAGTGCCAGGGCTTGCTGGCAGGAAAAGGCAAGGTAGAGGTGCCTTTTGTTCCTTTGTGCCCAACTCAGTGTCCAGCACATGTTATGAATGGAATAAACTGATCAGATGGCTGATAACATCCCTTTTGCCTTTGAGAAGAAAAGCAAAATGAAGTATATCATCTAGAAGTGAAATTATAGATATAAAATAAGTTTAAAGGAAACTCTACTTCTAGAACTGTTTTAAGGGCATTTTATTGCAGATTTAGGTCATATATTAGAACTACTTCCTTTGATGAGGACTTAATCTAGGATATAAGTGAATGGACTTGGGGACATTATGTGCCTGAGTGACAGTCCCTTCACTCAGGGTTGCCTAACTGCTGACAGCCCTGGTCTCATTTTCACACTCTGTGCACCCTTCCCCTCCTCCTTCCAGTTCTATCAAGTGTGGGGAGGGAGCATTTGGCCCTCTGAGTTGGAGTTATGCAAACCCCGAAAATAGACTCTCAGAGTGCACCCAGACATAATGATTCCATGCAGCAAGAAGGTCACTGTGTCTGCTTTTCCTGCCAACACACCCCTGGCTCTTAATCTATGGCTGCCTTGTGAAGCAAGAGAGCTGTGCCAGGAAGTTGCACTTTGACTACGAGGCATTATGAGAATTTAAAATCATGTCAATGGGGTTTTATAAGGGCAGACCAGGGGAGGGGAATTGGACATAGTTTTAGAAGATGGTCTTTGAACATCCTCTTGTTCTGTGGCCTGAGAGCTACCATAACTCAGTTTAAGGGGGAAAAAAAATAAAGCTATCAGACCCCAGCTACAAATCAGCTCCACCCTGCCAACCCTGCCAAAAATTTAAAAAATATCCACCCAAAAAGTTTACTGTAGTTATCCAAGTGGTGGGGTGATGTGTGAGTTTTATTGTTTTCTTTGTGCTTTTCTGTACTTTCTATAACATATCCTTCTTGCTTTTACAATGTAAAAAAAGCAACAAATTCTATTTAAAAAGCATAACTCTCCCAGCTAATTATCTGTTTGTGCTCCTTGAATGCTCGGTACCTGGTGGTTGAGACGCCCACCAGAGTTGTGACAATGGCATGGGAGGGGCAGCCCTACCTCTGCCCCTGCCAGGTTCCAGAGGGCTCCTGGGAGGGACCAGACCACAGACTCGGAAAGGACTTGTGGCAGCCAAGGAGGACAGGAGAGGGAGCGTGCTGGAATGAGGCCAGCCGGAGGCCTCAGCGGCCAGGAGGGGATTCTGTTCCCATCCAGTCGTCTCCGACAGTCAGACCTTTTGACATGTGCTTGTTGGGAGGGACAGTGTCAGCTCAAGTTCATCTGGAAACACTGTGTTCTCATCCTGAGAATGTCCAGTGATGCACATTGTTCTGGAAGTTGGGAAGATCCTGTTTTCCAGACCTGTAGGAGTCAAATAAAATGTAATAAGTAGAGACAAATATCTGGGAGAAAACAACCCTTTGAGGAATTCCAAAAATCCTCTTGGGGTTGGGGGACAGCTTTATTTAGACTTGGGGCCTTGACCACTCAGACCGGTCATTGACATGAACTCAGTCCATCAGCCAATCCTCTACTGAGCCCAGGCTGTGTCTGGCTCAGGAGCTTGAGGTGAGCAGGCTGGGCAGAAATGGCCCTTATGGATCATGAAACTGTGTCTTCTCACCTTTATTTATTTATTTATTTATTTATTTATTTTGTGAGGAAGATCAGCCCTGAGCTAACATCCATGCTAATCCTCCTTTTTTTGCTAAGGAAGACCGGCTCTGAGCTAACATCTGTTGCCAATCCTCCTCCGTTTTTTCCCCAAAGCACCAGTAGATAGTTGCATGTCATAGTTGCACATCCTTCTAGTTGCTGTATGTGGGACGCGGCCTCAGCATGGCCAGAGAAGCGGTGTGTTGATGCGTGCCCGGGATCCGAACCCGGGCCGCCAGTAGCGGAACACATGCACTTAACCGCTAAGCCACGGGGCTGGCCCTCTTCTCACCTTTAGACATAAATAATTCCTCCTGCCAGTTTCTATAAAGGCCTCTATTTCTTATGCATCATATGCAGACCTATTATTGGATGCAGTGGGGTTCCTCACTCCAGTGGTTCTGAATACTTTGAACTTGAGATCAAGTTCAAGCCCATACTACACAGATTGGGAACAGAATTCCTTGCAATCTGTATAATAGACTGTATGTCAGGGAGGTAAGCCCCTTATTAAGAATGGATTATTTTTAGTAGGTGGTAGAGATCTCGTGATTTCCTTGCTTTTTCCTGTGTGTTTCCCTGTGATGATGCGGTTTCCTCTAATATATTTATTGTAATGTCCGTTAGGAAAAAATACAGCAAGCTCATCAAACTCGTCATTTCCTGAATAACTTGAAGACAACGCTAAGATAGGTTAAGTTTTTAAAGAAAGTTAATTTTCAAGATGTATTAAGTAGATAATTGTATTATGGGACACAGATATGCAAAAGTCAGAAAGGTGGTGCATTAATTGAATGATTCCTGTTTGATAAATATTGTCCTAGAAGGTGCTACTTGGCCAAATTCGTTTTTTTTTTTTCTTTCTTTCTTTCTCTCTCTTTTTTAAATCTTAGTATCCCAGAATGAAGCTGCATGGAGAATAAATTGCTTACAAGAAAAAAGTGTTGTGAACAGTTTTAATAATGAGTCTAGTAACTTTTAGAGAGTGTCAACAAAGACTTATTGCTTCCCTGACACAGAGCAGGAGAACTGCTTCTCTTCTCTTCAGATCTGGCTTCAGAGCCATCATTCCCTCCCCTCTCTGAGAGCAGAGATCCTAAATGTTTATGTACACTCACATGCTTGCTGTCTTGTTCATAACCGGGACCGCTGTTTCTTGTGGGCTGTGTGTGTGCGCGCGTGCATATTAAATGGTAACAAGATAATGTGCCACGTCTAGGCTACACCTGTTATTTATATTAAATAATGACATGATGTTGGTGGCCTGTAATTCTCCATTTTCTGTTAACCACCCTGCCCAAGTAAACTGTTTTCTGATCTCTCTTAGATGGAAATCCTGTATGAATGTGGAAGCCATTAGCAAAGTAATTGCTGTCTGTTACCATGACAACCAGCCGCTGCAGTCACCTGCCCGAAGTGCTGCCAGACTGCACCAGCTCGGCTGCGCCCGTGGTGAAGACCGTGGAGGATTGTGGCAGCCTAGTGAATGGGCAGCCACAGTATGTCATGCAAGTTTCAGCCAAGGACGGGCAGCTGCTGTCAACCGTAGTGCGGACTCTTGCCACCCAGAGGTAGTACCACAATTAAAATAAATGAATCTGTAATTGATCCAGAGGACTCTGTCAGATGGAAAATGCTAAAGGAAATGTAATTAGTGCTCAGGTCTTTGTGTCAGGTGAGAGGAGGTGCTGGGGAAAAAAAAGACTACACAGGTTCTAGCACTGCTGTTTCTATAGCAATGGGGTGTAATGCTAAAATTCACGTTGTCGAGTTTTCCACTTAAAGTCAAACGTGCAGAGAGCCAGGGGGGGAAGGATCCCATAAGACGCAGGGTCGCTTGCTTTACATTTGTTATTTTGACACTGCTGCGGTGATTACACTCTGGTTGTCTCCAGGCGCTAACAAAGTAGCCCTTTGTTAGAATAGAATAAAGAAGGCACCTGATTCCAGGCGACTGAGCCAAAGTGATTGGATTTGTGGGCAAAACTTTTCAAGTGACATTCCTGGCGTACATGCTAATCAGCACCGCCTGATGGGAGCGCTGTCCAGGACCACTTCCCGGGCGAGTCTCTTCCCTCACACATCCCCACTTGGGGGCCTCTTCTGTTGCCCCCTCCTTTCCTTCCCATGGGCCCCCACCCCTGGTCCTTCATATACACCCTGCCCTGTGAAGTACAATTGTTAAAACCCCCACAGCTTATCTCTCCTGAGTGATGAAGCAAAGCAAGGCTGAAGGCTCTGAACAGCCTGGAGACGGCTCATCCAGGCGGGGACTTTGTCCCCGGAGGTCTCCTCTTGGGCTGTTGCTGCCCAATGGCAGATTGAGAGCTACAGGCTTCCCGGCCAATAGGTGCTCCTTGGCTTCTCCAGCTTTCTTTCAGCATGGGTAAGGGGGACTTTGACCTATGAATGTAAAATGTATATCAACACTGGACTTGCCCCCAGATATCACTGACACTTCGGACCCTGAAACTTAGAGTCGGTCACTCACACCTTGACCGCTTACCTTGGTCTGAGCAAGTCAGCTAACCCTGTGGTGCAGTAGAGGCCCACAGATCCATACATGCACCTACAGAAGCACTACTGGTGGCATCACAGCATTTTCTATTGCCACCAGCCTGGAGGTGGTAGCCCCAGACGTGGCCTCACACACCCATGCATGTTGTAAACATTATCCATGTGCCTTCTACTTTCAATCTGTGCCACTATTGCACCGGGGAGAAATAGAAAAAGTCAGTACTGTGTGTATTTTTCCACCTCTTGAAAAGCTTCTAACAGTTGGTTAGGACTCAGAGTACGATGAGGCAGTGAGCATCATCGCTCATCTGTGAACTGAGACAGATAGCTGCATGTGCACCCATCACCCTTGCAGCCCTCAGACACCTCGTTTGATCAGGAAGAGCAAGCTGCAGAGCTGAAATGACTGAGACCTGTGAGCCAATGTGTGTGTATTTATTTGTCAGGCATTTTTACATGTTCTCCTACCGTGTAGTAATGTAAACCAGAAGTTTTAGACTTTTACATGCATTGGGCTCAATGTGAATGAAGGAGGCCAGGAATAATGAGGAAAAAAAGTCAACTCTTTAAACTTTCTTTTCCCGCCCCTGAGCATGAGTAGGTCTTTTGGGCGAGTGGGAAGGAGATCCCTTCCTCTTTTAATCCCCCTTTAGCCTCCACTCATTCCCGGGATCATCCCCAGAAAGGCCTTTGGGAAACAGCAGTGTTTCCATGGCTGTTTCCATTTGGACCAAATATGGTGTCAAAGACAGTGGTGGGCAGGAGCCTGGGTCACGGTCATCTTTGGGGGATGGGCAGAGGCAGGGCAGGGCGGGTAAAGAGTCTGGTCCTCGAATTGGCACATTCAGTGATGTTGTATTTTAAAATCTAAGGCCCAGTAAAGGACAGCTTGAGCAATATAAGATGACATCGGTCAGGGAGGGATAATCCTCTTGCAGGACACAGTATCCATTGAGAAGTGAGGCCATCTCAGTTTGAGCCTTCCATTGGCCACTGACTTATGTGATGAGGGCCATGTTAGCTGATTTTCCCTGACCTGAGTTCTTCTACGAGTGAAAATGGTTAGCATTAACTAGGAATACTACATGCTATTCCCTATTGTAAGCTTCTAATCTGACTTTTTTCATCCTCACAGTCACCATATAAGGAAGGCACCCTTCTTTGTGCCCATTTTAGAGATGAGGAAAGTAAAGTACAGAGAGATGATGTTCCTTGCGCAAAGTTAGCCAGCTGGTAAGCAGCAGGGCTGAGGTTCGAGCCCAGGCAGCTGGATTCCAGAGCCTGTCTCAGGAACCACTATGCTGTGTGCCTTCACGAAACGTGCAGAGGTATCTTTTCCAAACTGAAGGCAGAGCTCTAGATGCAGCCTGCCTCTGCAGGACGTACTCACTGGCAGATTAGTGTCCTTAGCGTCCCAGAGAGCATCCTAGGAAAGCTCGAAGGACAGACCTGCCACTCAGCTTTGTGATCTGGCTCAGACTGCAGTTCTGTGTGGCAGCTTCAGTGTTGGCTGCCAGTTAACATCCCTCCTCTTATTCTCCCACCCTATTGAAAGGAACCTCTGGGGTATTCAAAAGTGTTCTGGCCTGGTTCAAAAGATGCAGTTTGTCTAGAAACTACAGTTGGTGTCATTTCAAAACAATTTCTGTTCTTAATGGTGAGGGATGCTTTTTATTTTTTGATTGGTAGTTTGCCTGAACTACATCTAGGTCCAAGGCAAAAATAACACACTCCTCATTTTCACTCACTTCTGGCCCTGGGCCACAGCGGCTGCTTTGCTCTTGGCCACTCCCTGTTTCTTTGTATTGGGAGAAGTAGATGCCCAAGGACCCGGGCACTGGCCCCCACTGCCAAGTGCAAGTATAGATGGAGGGTTTTAAAGCAGGTGTCTGTTCTGAGCAGTTGCGCTGGGAAGGGTCCAAAGGACACAGAGCCAGAGGACCATCCGTGTGGCGGTGGTTTCCAGCCCAGTGACCAGCAGATGCCCCTCCTTCTCTTGCAGCCCCTTCAATGACCGGCCGATGTGCAGGATCTGCCACGAGGGCAGCAGCCAAGAGGACTTGCTCTCTCCATGTGAATGTACGGGGACCTTGGGGACAATTCACCGGAGCTGCCTGGAGCACTGGCTGTCGTCCTCAAACACCAGTTACTGTGAACTCTGCCACTTCAGGTTTGCAGTCGAGCGCAAACCCAGGCCGTTAGTGGAGGTCAGTAATTGGGGCACGTCCTGAAAACTTAGCTCTAATGAGCAAATGATGTCTGCTTTTATGCCTAGATCACAAACCCTGTGCAGCTTCACTGAAGCACAGTAATAGCTCTGTGTGAGTGTGTGTGTGTGTTTGTGTGCACACGCGAGCATATGCGTGACGCAGAGTGCTCACCTAGCTCACTCAGGAGCCAACAGTAGAAAGGTGACCTCCGTGAGGTGGAGACAAGAGAGTAGAAGAAATCCATGTGAGGAGAAAGGGGAAGTTTAGAGACTTGATCTCCATTTTTCCATCCCTGTGAAGTGAAGCAAACAGATGAAACACTTTTCTCTTTGCACACCATCTGCCCACCTTGGAGCAACAGATAAATGGGCATTTGAGTTGCATATTCTGAGAGGTCTTTATGAAAAAATATAGCTGCATAGTATAATGGGTACAGACCCAGACTTCCTGGGTTTGAATAGGTCTGTGACCTTAGGTAAGTTACTTCACCTCTTGGAATTACGATGAGAATTCAATGAGCTAATATTTATAAAGCACTTAGAATACCAGGTACCACATGCAACTGTTTGAATAAAAAAATCTCTCCTAGGAAATTATATACAAGCTTTTTTCAGCTAATAGCCTGGTATTGGAATCTCTTTTCTTAAAAGTGGTGCTGTCAACCCAGCCATTAAAATGGCAGGACATTCTCTTTCATGTTTTAGGAGTCACATGATTCTTCTTTAGACCCAGGGTCTGGTCTTGTATTAGCTTAGAGAGTTGCAAAAAACCATTAGGTTATTTTTGCTCTTTCTCCTACCCTCAACTTCTACTAGTCAATTAAAAATTGGATATTGGCAGCAATAAATATTCTAATACATTATAAGCCAGAGCTAGTTGAAAGAGACCAAGACGTTGTGCCTACAATCCAGACCTGCGGGTAACCCCTTCCTTATTTCAGCAGCTGACCTGGTGAAACTCTGGCATTCAACTAGAGAGGGAAATCAAGAACCCCTTCTCAGAGACTATTTATAACAGTGCGTTAGCGCCTTGCCACTGAGGCTCTGAAGACCTCTGCATATACCTTCTCTTGGTTTTGACCTTGACAATTTAATCAGGACCTGTAACTGGGGCCTGTTTTAACTATGACTTGCTTGCCAAGTGGCACAAAACTTATTTGACTTGCCTCAATAAACGCTATGCTTTTTTAAGAGTCTGGATCAAGTGACCTCTTAATTGAGCTGTCTTGCTGCTTGACATCCACTTTCAGAAATTCATATTTGTAGAGTACCCATCAAGGAGTTGGCCCTATGCCACATTCACTGGGATTTACATTTCAGAACTTTTCTGCAGAAGGAGAAGTATAATTAAATAATAAATAAAGGAGATGAAGATTTCTCAAGCCCAATGGCAAAAGTTAAAAAGAGGCCTATTTCTCCTTTCCAGAAACTTTTTGGAACCTCCCCAAGTTGATATTGCAGCTTCTTCGGGGAGTCTGACTTCCCAGAGTAAGGAAACCCTGCTTTAGATGGGCTGCATCCAGTGGTCTTCTTTACTAGCATCTCCCCAGTAAACAAGACTTTTGCTCTGTAAAAACCCAAGTGCGTGTGTGCATAATACGTAACAAAGGAGGGGGTGTGTGTGTGTGCATACACGCAAGTGGAAAAGCACATGTACACACACCTGCACACACCTTAGTTTTTCTCCAGTAACACGCATGTGTCAAATCACCCAGTGAACCCTTTCCAGCTCAGAGAGGTTCTTCAGAGTTGCTTATGTTGGGCCACAGACAGACTCCAGGATCTTCGTCAACAGTCATTAAACAAGGAAACGAGTCAAATGACCTTGAGAATGTGTGAGGTGCTCTGCAAGATTTAGGGCCTCGCCTACAAAAACTTCACCCAAACGGTCACCGGTGGTGAAATTTTCATTGCACAAATGGAATGTGACATTTTTCAGAGTTAATGATGATTGAACAAGTTGAAAGTGAAAGGCAAACCTTCAAACTGGGGGAGGCTGGCCGTTTGATCATCCCATGGCCAGATGAACTTGCTGTTTGACTACAAGCAATAAAAAGAAGTTGTCTTTGGTTTCTCAGCTGGAGGACAAATGAGAACCAGGTGCAGGCAGATTTTTAAACAAATGACATTATTAATTGACTTTTGCCACTTACCAAAGGGCAGGTTTATTCACAGTGAGCATTGCTTCTCGGTATGTTTACCTCGAGATAAACATGAATCTTTTTAGTAAATGAGTAAAACCTGCTTATTTGGGTTAAGCATTAGGAGTATTGTTACTTCATTTCTTGTTTTCGCTCTTTTAATTGCTTTAATCATTACTTTATTTACCAGTTGGATCTGTCTTCTCATTAAAGCAAGAAAATTCCATAACATTTAATTTCAAAATCGATGTGATAATAATAGCTCCTGTTGCTAGAGGAAGCGTTTGAAAAAGTCATTTATAAATTTTATTTGTCAGCCTCCAGACGTTAACATTGGTTAGAATTACTTGAACACCTCAGACTCCCACTCTTCAGTAAACTCTCTCTGCCCTTCATTCAGCCCAGCCCTTCACCCTCCTTAACACCACTGTTCTGAAGACACTTCCCCGTCGCTTCCTCTCCTGCACTCTGCAGCCAGCAGTTGGGTGTTCATTTTTAATTGTTTAGAAATGCAGGGCTGTTGTCTACACACAGGCTGCTACATAAAGTCTTTCCTCTCCCTCCCAGCAGAAGGGCGAAATCAGTGGGCTGGTTTTTATGAGCACCTCCAAATTGAGCATCACCTTCTCGCTTTACCAGTGACCATTTGGGTGACCTGGCTCAGTTTCTTGGAGCTACAGTACAGAGAAGAATGAGCTAGGTGTTCTCCCTGATATCTTTGGTCTCTATTAGGCTCTCTAAGGCTAAAGGTCCAAGGCTAAAGATACTGTCCAAAAAAAAAATGCATTCTGCCCTTAAAATGAGTGCCTTGTATGGTATGTAATTTATACCTCAATAAGTTGATTGTGTGTGTGTGTGTGTGTGTGTGTGTGTATCTACTTATCTACCTACCTATATGGCCAGACTAGATCTTTTAGTCCCTTTTGGTAAGTTCCTCACCAGTTTGATACCTTAAATATTTTCTTGATGTTAAGTAAGCCAGTAGAATGAGAGCTGGTTTCAACCCAAGAGAACTACATTGCAATCATCTAGTTTATTCAGATGTGGGTGAATTTCCTCCATGGTCCAGCTAATACAAATCTCATAAGGTCTGTGTCCAATCAGGTAAAAAGTTTGAAAGGAATGCATTCAACCTGTACATAGCAAAAAGGAAGAGCAGATATAACACACATACGTTGCATACCCCCACAGCTAGCGCGTCTCATGAAAGCTACATATTTTTTGTTGATGATGGAAAATGTACCCAGTGGCAATTCGTCACATGAATTATTCCTAAGAATAATGACCTGGTAGAATGCAGTAAATAGACATCCACTAACCATAAACAGATGCACTGAATGACCAGCCTGGGTGGTTTTATGGTCTCCTTCCTGCTCATTTCCAGTTTTCCTCACTCCTCTCTGTAAGTTGAACTCTAATACCATTCTTTTATAAGGGTAAAAATACAGCAAGCAAATAAAAATACCATGATTTGTTCCCAAAAATATGTGCCTTGACTCCGGCCCACTGCCATGATTGCATATCTAATTGAGCAGTTTGCCCAGGAAGCCCATCTTACAATGTGCAAATAGCGTGCTTGCAACATCAGTGTCTAGTGATGGGAATATCTGCCACTGGGCTTTCCTAAGACATGTATCAGTAACATCCACCCTTGCCCGGGAAATTCTTGAAGTAATAGATCAGCTCAACAGTGTCGTGATTAAAATGAAACAGCCAGGAAATGGTGGCAATCTGGAGGAAAGGCTTCCTAGGATCTGATCTTCCTCAGATCAGGAGACATGGTGATTTTTCACAGAGGGAGTGCTTGCATTTCTGGATTCCTATTTCCTTTACACAGACCCAGCTGATTGATAAGAATTGTATGAACAATTTAAAAGCTATTCCCTGGAGTCAGAGGTTTAGCTACATTGAAACTGAGAGTGTTTTCACATAGATTACTCAGAATAATGGGATGTAAAGCTAGGGAGATGAGGATTAAGGATTTTTTTCAAACTTTTTGTTTATGATTTTTTAAGTCACTGGAGGAAAATGATTTTAAAGTGTGCCCTGGTTTCAGAGTAATCTCCAGCTGCACATCAGGAAGCAGAGTTGAACTGCTGTGGAGAAACCACTTTGTACCTTGGCACTTGCTGTTTGATAGATCTAAGACATCACTTACACCCCCTAATATGTATATATCAGACTTAGGTGGGGACATTGCTGAACTCTTATTCTAGTGGGTTTTGTTTTGTTTTGATTTATCATACATTCATTTAAATAAAAATGTGAGCTTTTGGTTTCAGAGTATTCATTTTCATCAGCAAACCCTTGTAGCATTGGGGTGATTAGGAAGTGACACCATAGGGGATGTGAAATGATTTGGGGCTTCCCAGGCGTAAGGACCACGTATTCCATTCCTTGAAGGAAGGTGGACAAGCTCCTGCAGCCCAGTGCGTAAGGTAGCTAGACCATAATCCCAGCATGTGATAAGCAATCAAGGGCCGGCCCTGTGGCTTGGTGGTTAAGTGCGCGCGCTGCAATGCTGGTGGCCCGGGTTCGGATCCCGGGTGCGCATCGAGGCACCACTTCTCTGTCCATCCTGAGGCCGAGTCCCACATACAGCAACTAGAAGGATGTGCAGCTATGACATACAACTATCTACTGGGGCTTTGGGGGGAAAAAAAAAAAAAAAAAATAAAAAAAAAAAAAAAAAAGAAGCATCTGTTCATTAAATAAATGGATGAATGGAGAACCTCCTCTCCTCCAGTTGCAAACCATATATTGTATTTTTGGCCTGTGATTGTAAATCAAAGAAACTGACCCCTTGCCCTTAAAGTTCAAGACAGACACAGTTGGACAAGGGGTTATATAATACAAA